GGGCCCGGCGCTGCCGGGAGACCCCGTCCAGACCTGCCAAAGGTAAGGGGACTTGCCATTTGGGGGTCTCTTGCCCCCGGACCCCAGCCTGAGGTCGGGGTGGGGAGTGCGGCCCGGGGGTGGCCTGTTCGCGGGAGACGGACGAGAAATGCAACAGGCGGGGCAGGGCGGGGCGGGAAACTCCTGGCGTTAATGTTTCCTACGGAGAGGAGACTTGTCCAAGACTGAAACTTGGGTAGGTTCTCCAGACCCGACGCGGGCGCGGGAGCGGCTCCCCAAGTGCGCGCTGAGCTCCCCCTGCCGGCCCCGGGCGGGATGGACCGCGAGGCTACAGGTGAGGCGAGCGGTGGCTGCCGCGGGCTCCCGCGCTGGCCCGGGTCTCCCCCGGGAGCAGAGTCAGACCTCGGGTCCAGCGGACCCCAGAAAGCTAGACCCCCACGCCCGCCGGGATCCAGAAAGGGGCATCCCGTTTTTGCCCTTTCGGCCCCGAGTCCTTTGTGACGGAACCACGGAGTAGCGGTCCTCATCTCTGTGTGCGCTGCATTTGCATACTAACATTTTCTGGCGACCCACGCCAGCCCCAGCCGAAAGCTAAATTCTGTCGGGTTATGTGTTGTGGCGGCTTGTCACTTGTCGCCTTTCACTGTTGCATTTGGTATTCGCGTTTCAAGGCACAGTGGGGAGGGGGAAGGCTCCTCGGAGCTCACTTGGCTGATACCTAAGGACAGATTTGATCTTGAGCTCACATGTCTATCCCGAGATGAGGGGGCATTTAAGTCATCCGTGTGTGTCCGTGCGCCCAGCCTCAGAGAGTTTCTTTGTTTTGTTTCCCCCCAGGCCGGGGTGTCTTGCAAGAAGAACAGAAAGGAGATGTCACTCACAGTTGGTGAAAGGGGAATTTTCCTTCCCACTTGGTGGCTGCCACAGGAGGGACAGGGCCCTGCCCCGGTGGCTGAAGAGAGCAGCCCTTTATAGCTGTATGGACGGAGCCGGTAAAAGAAGACAAGAGGCCCTCTCTAGGCTGATGAGTAAGTGAGCCTGAAGAGGCAGGCTTGAGGAGGGCAGGAGTCTTGAGTTCTTTTTAAAACCATTGAACACTTGTTGAGGATCTTTTCCTGCCCAAAACGGAAGAAGAAAAGATCCTCAAAGCAAGAAGTACACAAAGTTGAAGGAGTGGCTACCTTGTGCCCTGCAGCGCTTCCTCAGCGCCTCTGGGCACGCGGACTCCAGGCCAGACTCCAACCCCATGGCTGCATTCTCGCCCACGCTGGTTTCCTATTCTGGGGAAGACTGCTGATTTGCATCCTGGAGTGCTTTCGGTTTTTATTTTTATTTTTTACTTTGACTCATCCTATTAGATCAATGTATGTGCAGGAAGTAAACTCCAGATTCCGTGCGCTCGGCTATGGTGACACGGGCCCTTTGGAAGCTTTACCATCCCTTGAAGTTTGACTGGCAGTAGACTGGGTCAGGGAAACAGGTGCCGGTGCACGTTTGCTCTGTGGCTCACTGCACCTGCTCTGAAGGAGCCGGATGGCAGCTGCATTTCAGCTCACGGACGATGTACCGTCTTTGTTGCGTCAAGACCTTAAATGAGTGTTTTCTGCTAACTGGGGAGCTGCGCTCGGCACTGTTTGACATGTCTGCCTGAGGACAGGAGTTCCCATGGGTCATGGCGTTGATGTTTACAGGACATTGCTTATTTTTAACATTAGCGGTGTTTGCTTTCTCTGCTTTTGAGGACTCCGTGAGCAATTACTCTGACTGGGCAGTTTTCACAGATGACCTGGATCAGTTTAAGACACAGGAAGTGCAAGAGTTCAGACCCAATCAAAAGCTTCCGAAAAGTGTGCCTCATCCAAGTTTATATTTCGATGCTGGAGACATCCCAGCCCTGAGACACCGGTCTCGCACAAGCCATCTGCATCTTTTCCGAGCGATCAGAAGCGCAGTGACAGTTATGCTCTCCAATCCCACCTACTACCTACCTCCACCCAAGCACGCTGACTTTGCTGCCAAGTGGAATGAAATTTATGGCAACAACCTGCCTCCGTTAGCGTTGTACTGTTTGTTATGCCCAGAAGACAGAGTGGCCTTTGCGTTTGCCTTGGAATACATGGACAGGCTGGTCGGCTACAAAGACTGGCTGGTGGAGAACGCTCCTGGGGATGAGGTTCCCATCGGCCACTCCTTAACGGGCTTCGCCACCGCCTTTGACTTTTTATATACCTTGTTAGATCATCCCCGGAGACAGAGGTACCTGGACAAGATATGGGCTGTTACTGAGGAGATGTATGAGTACTCCAAAGTCCGCTCGTGGGGCAAACAACTGCTGCATAATCACCAAGCCACCAACATGCTGGCCCTGCTCACTGGCGCCCTGGTGACCGGGGCGGGCCGAGGCGCCCAAGTCAGCGTGTGGAAGCAGGTGGTGGTGGATGTGATGGAAAAGACCATGTTTCTGCTGAACCACGTGGTGGACGGCTCCTTGGATGAGGGAGTGGCCTATGGGAGCTACACCGCCAAGTCGGTCACGCAGTATGTTTTTCTGGCCCAGCGCCATTTCAACATCAACAACTTGGATAATAACTGGTTAAAAATGCATTTTTGGTTCTATTATGCCACCCTTCTGCCGGGCTTCCAAAGGACCGTGGGGATAGCGGATTCCAATTACAATTGGTTTTACGGTCCTGAGAGCCAGTTGGTCTTTCTGGATAAGTTCATTTTAAAGAACGGAGCGGGCAACTGGCTGGCGCAGCAGATCAGAAAGCACCGGCCCAAGGACGGGCCCATGGTGCCCTCCACTGCCCAGAGGTGGAGCACTCTTCACACTGAGTACATCTGGTACGACCCCCAGTTCGCCCCACAACCTCCTCCAGATTACGGTACAGCCAAAATGCACATGTTCCCCAACTGGGGGGTTGTCACCTACGGGGCCGGGCTGCCAAATACCCAGGCCAATACCTTTGTGTCTTTTAAATCTGGGAAGCTGGGGGGCCGAGCTGTGTATGACATAGTTCACTTCCAGCCGTACTCCTGGATCGATGGGTGGAGAAGCTTTAACCCAGGACATGAACATCCAGATCAGAACTCGTTTACCTTTGCCCCCAACGGGCAGGTGTTTGTTTCTGAAGCTCTCTACGGACCGAAGCTGAGCCACCTGAACAACGTGCTGGTCTTCGCGCCCTCCCCCACAAGCCAGTGTAACCAGCCCTGGGAAGGGCAGCTGGGAGAATGCGCACAGTGGCTCAAGTGGACCGGGGAGGAGGTGGGTGATGCCGCTGGGGAAATCGTGACGGCCTCTCAGCACGGGGACATGCTGTTCGTAAGTGGAGAGGCCGCGTCTGCTTATTCTTCAGCAATGAAACTGAAAAGTGTGTATCGCGCTTTGCTTCTCCTGAATTCTCAGACGTTGCTAGTTGTTGATCACGTGGAGAGGCAGGACGATTCCCCGATACAGTCTGTCAGTGCCTTCTTTCATAATCTGGATATTGACTTTAAGTACATCCCCTATAAGTTCATGAGCCGCTACAATGGCGCCATGATGGACGTGTGGGACGCGCACTACAAGATGTTTTGGTTCGATCAGCACGGCCGTAGCCCCGTGGCCAGCATCCAGGAAGCAGAGCAGGCTGCCGAATTTAAGAAACGGTGGACGCAGTTTGTGAACGTCACCTTCCAGATGGCATCCACTGTCACCAGAATCGCGTACGTCTTCTACGGGCCCTATGTCAATGTGTCCAGCTGCAGATTTATTGATAATTCCGACTCTGGTCTCCAAATTTCTCTTCATGTCAATAACACGGAACACATTGTGTCCATGGTGACGGACTACCCCAACCTCAAGACGAGATTCGATTACCTGGGATTTGGTGGCTTTGCCAGTGTGGCCGATCAGGGCCAGATAACCCGCTTCGGTGTGGGCACGGAAGCCATCGCAAAGCCTGTGAGACGTGACAGAGTCATCTTCCCCTTTGGGTTTAAATTTAACATAGCAGTGGGGTTGATTCTGTGCATTAGCTTGTTGATTCTGACTTGCCAGTGGCGCTTTTACCTTTCTTTTAAAAAGCTGATGCGGTGGATACTCATCCTCGTTATTGCCTTGTGGTTCATCGAGCTGCTGGACGTGTGGACCTCTTGCACCCAGCCCATCTGTGCCAAGTGGACCAGGACAGAGGCCGCGGCCAATGCCAAGACCTCGCCCCCCGAGGGCCACCACCTCCACCTTCCCAATGTTGTCATTACCTCACTTCCTGGGTCAGGAGCGGAAATTCTCAAACAACTCTTCTTCAACAGCAGTGATTTTCTGTACATCAGGGTGCCCACTGCCTACATCGACATCCCGGAGACCGAATTCGAGATCGACTCGTTTGTGGACGCCTGTGAGTGGAGGGCGGCGGACGTCCGCGGCACGCGCTTTCGCCTGCTCCGGGGCTGGCTGCAGTCTTTAGTCCAAGACACGAAGCTACACTTGCAAAACATCCACCTGCACGAACCCAGTAGAGGAAAACTGGCCCAGTATTTTGCAGCGAATAAAGACAAGAAAAGGAAATTAAAAAGAAGAGAGTCTTTGCCCGAGCAAAGAAGTAGGATGAAAGGCGCCTTTGACAGAGATGCTGAATACATTAGGGCTTTGCGGAGACACCTGGTCTTTTACCCAAGCGCGCGGCCTGTGCTCAGTTTAAGCAGTGGGAGCTGGACCTTAAAGCTTCCTTTTTTCCAAGAGGTTTTAGGAGCCTCCATGAGGGCATTATACGTAGTAAGGGACCCGCGGGCGTGGGTTTACTCAATGCTGTACGGTAGTAAGCCAAGTCTTTACTCTTTGAAGAATGTACCAGAACACTTAGGTAAATTGTTTAAAATAGAGGGAGGTAAAGGCAAATGCAACTTAAACTATGCGGTTGAGTATGAATCGTTGAGGCAAGAACTGTCCAACTCCAGGTCAAGCACAGTCTCTCTGCTGTCGCATCTGTGGCTGGCAAACACAGCAGCAGCCTTGAGAATAAGCACAGACTTACGGCCAGGCAGCTACCAGCTGGTCAAGTTCGAAGATATTGTGCGTTTTCCTCAGAAAACCACTGAAAGGATTTTCGCTTTTCTTGGAATTCCTTTATCTCCTGCTAGTTTAAACCAAATATTGTTTGCCACCTCCACGAACCTTTTCTATCTTCCCTATGAAGGGGAAATATCAGCAACAAGCACTCATGTTTGGAAACAGAACTTGCCTAGAGATGAAATTAAACTGATCGAAAACATCTGCTGGACGCTAATGGATCGTCTGGGGTATCCAAAGTTTAGGGGCTAAATGCTGCAGGTCAGCAGAAATTTGCACTAATGCTTTCCCGCCCAATTCATGGCTATGAATTTGAAGTGTTTGTTCATTCTTGTACGGCGTGTGTGATTGTGTGTGAGTGTTTGCGTGCAGCGTGTTCCTTGCACAGACACTATTTGAAAAGTAGGCACCATGTTTGGGCTAACAGGATTTATTTTTCTCACCAGAGTCCTTGCTTCTGCTACTGAATTTTTTTCTGCAAAAATATTTCTGCTCCAGCGGGGTTGGTGAACTTCTATCATGGGTGTCTGGGGAGAAGGGACGTTTTTCCTCTTAACTTGCCTTCATCTGTAACTGCTCTTCAGTCTTGAACCTCAACAGCAGTGATTGCTGTAGGCCTTAGCTGTGGCTTCCCTCAAACAACTCTGGCTTCAGGACTGACTGCTGACCCCCTTATCTGTTTTACAAGGTCACCTTGCACACCTCTTGCACTTTGACACTAGTGGTTGTCATGCCCAGTGCTGTCTCTGGGGAAATGGTTCAACACCTACCAGAAGAACAGGATTTCTTCTGGGAAATACAGATGGAAATACAGAATTTTTTTTTTTTCCTTCTTGAGGTCAGAATCAGCAACCTGAAAAGCCCTCCTGCAAGTATTTTACTTAAGTCTTTGAAGCATCTGGGTGTCAGGGCACCTGGAGCATTTTAGCTGCTTCTCTGTTAAAACACCTTCTTGTCCTCCTTAAGGCCACACTGCTCACTGGCACGGTCCTCCTGTCCTGTCCTTTCTGTCACTGTCTTGCAAAAACAGCCAGCTCTTACTAATTGCTAAGCTCCTGATATTTGTGGGTATTTTTTCTTCCCCATTGTGATTAATTTTGCACCAAAGCTTGACACAAACTTAGCATCAAATTTCTTTCTTTTTGTGGAATTATCAATGGATGACTAAAGAAAGCTGGGCCGCTGCTGTGAGGTTTTTTTTTTTTTTTTTGGATTGGAAACAGAATTGGACAATTGCCTGACTTTTCTTGTATCCCTTTGAATGAGTGTACAGACCGCCAGTGTCTGCAGAAGTTGAAGGCAAATGGGAGATGATGTCAGAGGCATCTGTTTCCTTTACCATCTGCATCTTATTAGAAATGGAGCCATCATAAAATGTGGCGCGTTTTATTTTGGTCGTCTTTGAAATCAAAATGCTAGACCATGATAAGCCATGGAGTAATGACAAAGTAGTGGATGAGAAAAGGCTGGTAGCCAGCGTGGGGACTTGAACATCGCTGTACAGGCTGCTGTCTTCCCCTGACGGTTCAAACCACCAGTCCCCCCAGCTCTGTAATACTCGGGAGTCTGTCACTCTGACCTAGATAAAAGTGGTTCTTTCTCAGTAGTTTGTTATTATGTCAAAATGTGCCTCCAGAGTGATAAAGCCTGGATGTGTTACATTCCCGCGGAAACTGACTTGCCTGTCATTTCTCTTCCATTAGAGTGAGTGGACCCCACTGACACCCCCCCAAAAAGACTCTCCTTCCTTCTACAGCTGTCACTGCTTTCTCTACACTGTTGAAATGAAGGAAAAATCATTCTTGTATTCGTCTAGGTGAAGAGGAAAACAGAAGACCTGAATCTGTATTATTCTCGAGGAAGATTGCTCTCTCTAGCTCAGGGTTCTCAGCCAGCACGTAAAATTGCTCCACGGACGATAACACTATTGCCATTACTGGTCAGACTCCCAGTGTTTGCTTTCGGCTCCCGGGATGTGTGGTCTCCAATCAGATCAAATCAAACGGCTCTGGTTGGCAGGAGTATTAAGTCTGATCGAGTCGAGGTAAGAATTACAAATGTGTGCAGGTCCCGCCAGGAGAGCCGAGCCGCCCCGGCCTTGCCTTGCCAGTAACGTTATGCAGCATCAGCTCATGGGCAGAGCAGCGGGCTTGCAGCTGTGGAGGAAGGGGGGCCGAGGGGCCAAGTGAGGAGGAGTCATCCTGGAATGACTATGGGAACAGATGTGTCAATGCAGCAGAGAGAGGGACCCGTTCTCGCCTTCACCCCTCGCGGCCCAGCCAGGTGGATTTCCAGGTGAGTCTCTGTACTCACCCCTTCTCATGCCCAGGGCAGTTTGCTGGAGGGGGAGACTACTGGCCGATGCCCTTGAGAATGCTGTGTGTGGGTGAGGGGTGACGGCTTCAGGGGTAAAAGCATGTGTTCCCCTGGGCTTGGTGTGACCAGTTTCTAGGGGGATCTCATCTGGCATGTTCAGGTCTTCCGCTGTTAGGGTGCTGCTCTAGAAACACTCCCGCTAGCCTCTACTCTTACTTTTAACACCCTGAAAATAAGTAAGTGATTTTCATTATGTGATGCCTGTAAAGGCAACAGCAGTTATAAGAGTTATAAGATATCCTCTTTAAAATAAAAATTAGTTGTTGATTTCTCCAGATGTCAGTCTAATTAGATAAAATGTCTTTATTAAATTGGAATCTTGACAGCACGTCTTAATTTTGCTGACAAAAGTAATGTAGATGTGGTAATCGTTAATCTCGTTTTCAAAGTCTGAAATGTCACTAGGAGTGCAAGGGAAAAGATGTATCGGAGTTGAGTTTACTGTAATGAAGATGCCAGAGAAGAGAATAAAACGGGACAGTGTGCTCAGGAGAAGGAAGACCGATGTCTGAACATGCTTTGCATTACAGAAACCTAGAACGGCACACGTTTTAAGGAGATGACAGAACACACACGCTTTAGACCTAGGTCCTCAAAGGGGTATGGGCTTGGCTTTCTTTCCAGATAGAAGCTTAATGCACACAGACAAGGATGAGCTGTCAGCCTCCCCAGCATGGCGGACACCTGCCCGTGCCCTTGACCATGACTTCAGGGAAGACTTCGCACTGTATGTGCTAGCACTTGCCCATTTGTGGGGATCCCCCTGCCCCAACCAGGCAGTTTACGTTCCATCAATATCATTTATCAGGACTCTTTGGACCATCATCAAAGGTCCTAGACCACCGTAATAGACAGCTTTGAGCACATTCGATTATCTGTAATGAGTAAACATTAACAGTGATTTTTAAATCATTCTGTTGATTGATTGGCTTGATAACTCTGGTCATAATTAGAAAAATATCTGCTGACACACTTAGGGAAAAAATGTAAAGAGGAGGTAGCAGTTTCTAACACCAGCTCAGAGTAAGAGCGCCCAGCGTTCTGAAATAGGCCAAGGGACTGAGTAATGTGGCTGTCTACTGATTATGGATTTGTTGACCAAAATACATCTACTAATATAGCTCAAATGAATTGGTAAGGCCGAAAGAACTCAGTGACTGAGTTTTAGCCGAAAGGACGATAGGAACTTCACACAACAGATTCTACTATCTCTGAGTATGTAGATGCTTGAGCTACCATCTCTATGAGCTTATGTTTTATTTAGTCCAAAGAACATATATGTGTTTAATTTATTCTATTTCCAGAAGAGAGGTTCAGCCAACACTTCCAAGCCCTGTGGGTCCTGTCCTTGCTTAGCTTTTTCCACTCACCTACTCAGTTAGAAGCATTGCTTCTAAGAAAACTAAAGATTATCAGCAATTTTATTGGAACTATATGGATAACAAAGCTCTTCTGTTAATAAATAAGTTAACAGCAACTTCGGTATGGCTGGTATCATTTTGTAATAGTCCTCTCTTCTGTCGTAACTGTTAGGGCTTTGTATGGAGCTAACAAGGCAGAAGTTGAGAAGTCTGGGACAAGTTAAAGATGACATCCTGGTCCCACAATTTCAGCCACTCAACTTGCTCCCTCAGTGATGCACAGTGACTGGCTTCTGCTCCCTACACGTAATGACACATCTCTAATGGATCTCACTATTTCACTTTTCCACTCCATCACCACAACTTACTAAATGTACCCAGGACCCTTGCTGTGCTTACTCCCTCCTCCACGCCCCACCCCTCACCATTTAGACCTTCATTAATTTCACACTAAAAAGGTTTACAGGTTACCTGAGACCTAAGTGGGTGAAGTCCAGGTTTGGCATAGTGTAGACATTTTAAAAGAGGGATAAAAATCTATCGAGTTACTTCATATGTGCTACAGAATGACCCAGAAGGTATTCGTATGGCATAATTCACTATTCGACATGTGCCCGATTTACAGATAAGTAGGATGCCTGTGTTTTCTATGTATGGAATATGATTGTATGAAGGAATTTTGAATGGATTTATAATTCATTGATCGATCTCCTTACTTGCCAAAGCTGTTTGGATTTGCTGTCAGGGTAGTTAACTGGCAAAAAACTCAGTTGACTGTGGCACTCCGTGCTTGTGAGGAGGGGAGTCTCTCCAGAGAGTTCTGAACAAGTAGGAGAGGAGAGGAGTGGGGAGACATGTCAGATGATGATTATTTGCAAGGACAGACACCCAAAAGTGTTCTCTTCAGCAGAGATTCATTCCAAATAGGGTGCTTATGAGGAAAGGGAGTTACCAGGTGAGGGGAGTGAGGCTGGTAAGGTTAGGTGCATTCCCCACCTAGTCTTGGATTTTGGCATCCATCCAGAGAGGAGTGCAGCTAGAAGCAAACCACCAACCCCTACCTCTCCCCACCCCATTCACTCGGCCACACCAACATGCTTAGAACCAGAAATCTGAATATCAAGGGCTGCCCTGAAGAGAAGTGTGCGAGTGTGGACTGATGGCAGAGTAGGCAAATAAGGTGTATTTCCTCCAGGCCCCGTGGGCCATTTCTTTTCCTCTCCCTCCCCCTGAAAAGCTCCCATCTCCTTGAGGCTACTCAGCTCTCAGTACAGGGAAGGCAGGAAACAACCAAAAAGGGGTGAGGAGGCTCACCCCTTCGGCCAGTCTGGTCCAGTCTGATTGGCATTAACACCTTATTCCCGGTTGCCTTGGTGACCCTCTGGGACTCCTTTTGGGGTTGAGCTCAACTCTCAGCACCATCCCTTTCCTCACAGATGAAGGAGTAACACAGCATCTCTAATCCCTCCTTAAATTGGGTTGCCCTCTGTGACGATGCAAAAGATGCTTCTTATTAATTGCACGATGCAAATAATGTCCCAAACCCTTCATACTACGGTCAAAGATTACTGCCCAAATTATATTGGCATTTATCAGGTTTTACTTACATAGTCATTTATCCTCTAGCCTTGCTCCAAAAGATTGTTTGTTGTAGATTTAACCCACTTGGAATTTTTTAATATGGCTGCTTTAATTATACTGCACTATTTTAATTTGAATTTCAGTGTGATCGTTGATAAAATGATTAAAGGAGGATTTGCTTATAAGAACACATAATAGAACCAAGAAGGGATGCGGTTGCTTCATAATACACCTGTAATAAATGCATTGGAATGGTACAGTTAATAAAAACTGACCCCTTAAAACAAATCAGGTGGATTTTACGCTTCATTTTCAACGACTGACTTGAGTACCCTGGTTAATTCATTGCTCACAGCCCATGGCTTGTGTATCACGTGATCATTATTACTTTATCTTCCACAGCATTAGTCATACAAAATCCAAACCCCCCCTTTGGTTGAGCATGAGAAGCCAGGTGGCTGATTGCAGAAATACATCAAAGCAGACAACCTTCCGTCTTCACTTGAGGCAAGGGGGTTGCTCTGTCACCAAACAGATTTGAAGGGGCAGTCTCTTAAAATTTTATATTTGCGACACTTCTTAATATTATATGTGATTTGAAATTGGATAAAACTGAATTCCTAGGTTGGTAAATACCAGCTATGTGCTCTGAGGTAAGCTTTTCAATCTGAAATTTCTGTTTCCTCCTCAATTTGTAAAATCGTCTCAAAGTTGATGCAAGGGTCAACTAAAATCACATGTGAAAATTAATAGAAAGGCTCTGAATTGCTCTTTGCGGTCACTGCAAATCGTCAAGTGATATTGATTGTATATATGTACATATGTATTTATACACACATGCATGAGAGAGAGAGAGAGATTGTGCTCAAGGATAAATCCATGTGATGGGTCATTTTCCCAATGAGGATGTATTAAAAATATTTTCAGACATTTTGAACATATATCATTAAGATATACAGACCTAATATCTATTTTAGTGTTTAATATATTAACTGAGTTGTATAAATCACAATTAATATATATTGGCTTGGATATGCTTGCTCTTATATCCATATTCAAGAAACAAGTTTATTCAAACTCTCATGTCATCTTCAATGTCTTCATCGCTAAGCCATGTTTTCAGTTATTCTTGGCACATATCATTTTTGTTTTATTGAGATATAGAGCTTTTTGAATCTAAGTATGGTGTTATTGCTCAAGACGGTCTTCTCTGTTAAAAGTACTATTTGTATAAAATCAAGCATTACATTGTCATAGCTTCATTTGTAGGTTGTAATTGTCATCTGTATTATAACCATTGTATTTTTATTCTACTTCAATGTGTTTCATTTATTATAATCGTGCATAAAATTTGGGGATACCGAAGATTATGTGTGAATGTTACATTTACTCCACAGCTATGATGGGTCAGAGGAAACCATTCAGAGTACATATCCAAATTGCATATATAATGATTGTCCACCTTGACATCACACAGAACAGGGGATTATAGCAATATAAATCAATGTACAGAGAATAATTTTTCTGTAAATTCACTTATATCACGTATACTCCTTGAGTTGGGTTACAATTCTACTGTACCTTATCCTCTGCTTGATGCATTGTAAATGCAGACACCTTCTCTTCTCCAAGGTTGTAGCTAGGGACCGGAGCAAACCCCAGAGCCTCCAGCTGGAAATGCAGCTTTCCAGTGAGGACTGCAAGCAAGCACACACACACGCATGGGGGATGAGTGCCACAGACCTAGGATCACAGTTCCATACCCTCCATCGAGAGGGGTTCCTTTTCTGTGGTTGGCTTTTCTTGGGCATTGCTGTCTACGCCCTTGCTGTGGTTCACTGTATGCAAATGAGAAACCACTATCATCCATCTTCCCATATGCCAACCCCGCTGCCCCGCCCCGCCTTCGCCCCCCCATCAGACTGGGTATATTACCGATATACAGAGACAATACTATTACGGTGACTAAAATGATGAACTGGCTCTAGCTGGATCATCGGAAGCCCTCCTGTATGGCATTAATAATGGTCTACGGCCGAAGATGGGGCTTAGAGTCAGAAGTCATAACCTCACACACTTACATTATGAGGCATATAAGTATACATTATATTAATAACATCAACATGAGTGTAACCCACCGTCCACTCTAAGAAATGCTCAATTAACAACTGTTAAGTTCCCCACCTGCCCTCCATTATCACATCGCCCTGTTCCCACCAGTGATCTTAGAGTAACTCTTAACGTCTATCCTGGACTTTGTTTGCTATTTCCTTGCTTTTCTCTTGGCTCGGCCATGTATGTATCAACATTTTATATTTTTCCACTTTGTGTAACAGTGATATATGTTCTTGTGCAACTTGCTTTTGTTTATCTAATGCAGGCTGATGTTTAGAGATGGAGATCACTTATTTTTAACATGGCAATGTTCTATATGAGTATGTCATCTGAACATAGCATACTTCATCTATTTTTTGATGCATTTAGGGCATATTTCTAATTGTTGCAAATTCGAACATTGCTATAAAAATCTGTGTTCTATGATGCTATTTTATAAGAATTTTGTTGTATTTTCTTTGTACCCAGAATATTCCCACCCACCCTCACCCTATCCTCCTTCCTATATATCTATTGAGGTTCAAAAGTGCTGGGTTAATAGGATATTTGCATCCTCAACTCTGCCAGACGATGTAAATTCTTATTCTCCAAATTGCCTATATAAATTGATACTTTGAGCATTATAGAATGCTTCTGCTGCTCTGAGTTTTCTCCTGTACCTGACATTTCAGACTCGTTCTCTCTCCCTGTATGACATGATAAAACTGTCATGGTTCTGTTTTTATTCACATCCGTCTGACTATTAGCAGCACAGAGCACGCACATCTGTGCGCACCTGCACACGCTCCTGTAGAGTAGTCTCATTCTTTGCCATTTTCTTTCCTTTTGTGAAATCAAATCCATATTCAGTCTTTAATCCATGTTGTCCTTCAGGCCTTGCTTTCTGACTCACTGAAGTTTATTATATAGTCATAATACTAATCCTTTTGTGATTACATGTGTTGTGAATAGCTTGGCATGTCACTCATGTCATTATACTGTGACTTCTGTGGTTGTGGTGCACAGGTGGGCTTAATCTGAAAGGAAGCACTATGTCAATGTTTTCTTTGATCAATTATACCTTTCTTAAAGATGTGTCTTATTAAAGACTCTTTCCCAAGGTCTTGGCACTAAAAATATTGTCCATTTTCTTCTAAGCATTTTTTCATGGGTTATCCATTGCTGCACAACTATATTGCCACAAAGTTGACGGCTTCACACACTACACACTGATTATCTCACTGTTTCGTGGGTCACAGATCCTGGCGTGGGGGTCCAGGACTTTCCCAGCTGCTGTGTGGTTGCTGCTGGGGAGCTGCCTCCGAGACTCACCTGGACAAGCGCTGGTGCCAAGCTCACGTGGAAGCTGGCGAGATTCGGTTGCTTGTGAGCTCTGGACTGAAAGCCTGTTTTTCCTAGCTGTTGGCTGGATGGAGTTCACCTTTCATCAGTCGCTATCTGGGTTTCTCCATATGGCCCTTTACTCTGTGAAAACCGGGAGGGGAGGATCAACAGACAACCGAGGTTCATTAGCCCACTGCGGAAGTGACGCCCACTCAACTCAGGTCAGCAGCAGGGTGTGCGTCTCACTGCTCCCTCAGGAAAGGGGCACACCAGGGCCTGGGTACCAGGAGTGGGGTCACCGACAGTTTCAGGGTCTATGCTCCCAAGCTGTCTGTTGAATGTAACTACTCTATGTGACTTATGTTCATTGTTGCTCTTCTAAGATTTTTCTTTTTCTTTCATGAGTTACCTGTTGCCGAGAGTAAAGGATTGAGCAACCTTTCTTGTCCATGAACCTTGGATGCCACCTCCATCCCACACCTGGCCCTTGTCAGTCTATTTCTGACCTCACCACCACCCCGCTGGTGAACTTGATTGTGCCAATGACAATACCACACTGTCTTAAGGTCACTGGTCTTTTTGTTAGCCTCAGAATCTGGCAAGACTGATCTTTGCATTTTTGGTCTCATTTTGTCTTAGATCGTTTTAAGCTTCTGTTCTTGCCTGTGCATTTTAGAATTAGTTTACACAGTAACCCAAAGCAAAGAAAGACCAATACATGTTGATTGTGAATGCATTTTATCCATTTTTCAAGAATTGACCTCTTACATTCATTAGAAATTCATTACATTCACGAGCATGGCATATCCTCCTTTTATATAATACTTGGTAATCTTTGTTGGATTTAAAATCTGAGCACTTTATATTTGTTATTACAGCGGATGATATTTATTTTTAATGTTTGTTCTAACTGTTGCTAGTATATAGAAAATTCAACTGACTTTTGTGTATTTATATTGTATCAGGGACATTAGATCCTCTTTCTAATTTAGAACTTTACTTACAAATTGTTTTGAAACACTAGATGGTTTTGTAATCTGTAATTAATGAGAATTATATTTCCACCCTTGTAAACTTATATAACTTTTTACTGTTCTTATTGCATTGTTAGGGTTGTCTATAAAATATTGACAGGGCTTCGTGATAGTAATTGTCCTTAAACTATAATGTTCATGACGTGCTGCTACATCTCACCTCTGAGCAAAATCTATGCTGTGTGTATTTAAGAATCTTATCAGGCAATAGTGTTCCCTTTTCCCTGAGTTTGATAAGTGAACTTTGTACCATTCATGCATGAGCTTATCCAATTCCTTTACTGTGTTTATTGTGACTGTCACATTGCTTTGCTTTTATCTACTAATGTAGTGTATTATGTGAACCTATATATATTTTTTTTCTTTTGAGATTAAACTAAACCTGGTTTGCTATGATAAAACTAGCCTGACAATGTTTCATGATGCTTGTGTATGTAATGGAATTGAATTTGTTAATAATTAAGATAGGATGTTTGCACCAGTAATTGTAATTGCAATTTTTCTCATGCCACAGTGTCTAATTTTGAAACCAACATAGTTGGTGACATGAAATAAGTTGAGGATAATTTATTTTTATATTTTCTAGAAGAGTTATTCCTAAGATTGATGGGATGTTCACTTGTAAAGCAGCATGACCATTGTGCTTTTTTTGTGGGAACATTTTAACTACTTACCCAGTTCTATTTGATTGTCTTTTACTTGTTTATTTATTTTTATGATTTATTTACTTATGCATACAGAATTGGGGTACAGGCCAGAGGTGCAGGGGTAGTGAGAGTCTTCACCAGAGACAGAGTGGGGAGCAGAACAGGCAGACTGACAAAGTACACGGCTGAGGGGGGCAGTGGGAGGGTCAGGAGAGGTCTGCTGCGCCCTGTGGGTCACCTCCGGGGCGGGAATCGAACTTGCACTGAGGCAGCTGCGGCCAGCTTGCAGTGCTGCGTCCTAACCCGTTGCACCACCAGGGAGGGCCTGGATTGTCTTTTATTTAAATCATGCATTTACTTTTAAGTCTGTTGTGGTCAGTTATATTTTTAAAAGAATTTTCTTTTCTTTATTTTTTAATTTATTGACAAAAGGCATTCTGCTGTCTAATTATCCATCCTTCCCACACACTTACAGCTCTAATAGATTCAGTATGTATTCCTAGTTTCTTTTTGTCCCCTGGTCAGGATTTTTTTTTAATATTGTCTTTGCAAAGACTGGCTTTTATATTTTTTGTCCATACCTACCATTTTATGTTTTTTTTTTTGCTTTTGTATTGACTGACTCCTAAGCTTACATTTTTCATTCATTCAATTTGATTTACTTTTTCTACTTTTCCTTTGAGGTGCACATATTTTTTCTTCAATTAGATAGATGAATTATTCCCTCCCACTCCCCAAAGGTCCATCAGTCAAAAAATATCGGGAACAAACTGGATTTATTGTTAATTCCAGTGAGAAAGCTATTAAAAGAATGACATTGTTCTGAGTGAGACTTTGTCGGGACTTGGGGGTAATGTTACAATGGGGTATCTGAACAAATCTTCCCTAGAAGGTGGGAGGAGTAGGCCGAGACTGATGGCATAACTGACTAGGAAGTAATCAGCCCTCACATTAGCTGGGGGATGTGTTGTGCTTAGTGGATAAGCATGTGTTCATAATTCTCTGGGGTCCAGACATGGGCGTGGTTTATAAAGACATAGGAATCAACTGGCCTTGTGTACATCTCGACCCATCACCTCACAGACTTGGGCTCCTTGCTGCCTGTGGTCACTGTATTTTCATCAACTGATCAATTCAGACCTTGATTTATGTGCGTTTCTGTTCAAAGACACTTTATTGAATCCTCATTGATGATTCATTATCACCTATACTCTAGTGAAGCTCACCCAACCAGCACACATGTTCTCTGTCAAACAAAGAGCAGCTTTTTTTTGCCTAGAACAGAACACATTTCTTCGCTAGACTGTGGCACATTAAGCAGGAAGTCACCCCCAAAGCCTTTCAGTGTGAAAAGCCCCCGTTTCCAGTGGGAAGTGGAAATCAGAAGAGGCAGAGATACCCTCTGCTGGTCAGCCTGGGCCGGCAGGTTGTTTGTAGGAGACCAAGTCAAGGAGCCACGCGCACTGGCTCAGGGTAACACGAGTTTGAGGGCAAGCAGATTCACAAATACACAACCTGCAAGGTAATCTGACATTCTCCTTCTCCACCAAATCTTGCTCTTTGATCTCTCAGGGGCCTCCCGAGGAAACAGCTAACTCCTCCCTTTTCTGTCCCTGAGCGCTCGCTGCCTGCGTTAACCAACATTATTCTGTCTCCTTTGTCCTCCCATAATATGTACAGATACCAATAATTAACATATCACCAATTATCCTTTCACTTTCAGGTTTATATAGATACAGTAATAAAGTGATCTGAACTGGAGTCAGGTATTGTCAATTAATAAAATGAATGTAGGCTTAGTAACATCAATTATAACTACAACTATGGACCTCATTTTTCAGTTTTTAAGATCTAGGTCAGGTTTCTGCTTCACAAAAGCTTTCTAATAGCTACAGGTTTATAGGGTCTACAATTCAATAATTCGAGGACTACACATACTTACATAAGAATTGACCTTATTTTTTGAGGTACTCAAATACTTTTCAAATGTCAATTCTACGTGGCGATGCGGACATTCCAACTAATTGTGAGGAAATAGTTATTTGTTAATACTATGATTAAAGAAGATAGGACAATTAGTCTTAACAAAAACCAGAAATCAGAAAGGACTGAGAGATTTCAATGCATATTTTTAAATTTTATAAGAAAAAAAAGCGATGGCAATGACAGTAAAAAAGAGTGCCAAATCAGAAAGCTTGCTTTCACTTTTTACGAGTAAAGATTTAATACATTTAAGGCAAACTGTGATTTCACTCACAAGTCGTATAGAGAACAAACAAGCAGGTGAACTAAAGAAAGGAACGTAAGTGTTTGGACTGTGGGACTTTTTGGCAGTTACCGCCTTGAAGGAAGAAAGGGGATGGGCAACCGGAAACAAAGAGCAGTGATAAGGAGCAGGGAGCTGTGCTTTTAGCAGTGAACCTAGTATAGACACATGTCAATGCTCAGTGACGTACGCTGGGAACTTCTGTAATGTCTTCATACTGTGTCACCTCAGTGCAGATTAAATAAGAAAGGTTTACGCTTACACATCTATAAGCAAAAAATGAGCACCGCATATTAAAAAGTCAGAAATAGGGCCTCCCTAGTGGCTTAGGGGTTAAGGCTCGGCACCACCATCTCAACCGCTCACCATGATGGCCTGAGTTCGGTCCCTGGCCAAGGAGCTGACCCACATGGCACAGCAGACCTCTCCTGCCTCCCTCCTGCTCCCCTCAGCAGTGTGTCTCTGTATATCCACCTGTTCTGCTCCCTCCTCTGTCGCTGCTAAATCTTCTCACCGCCCCCACCACTTGCCTGCACTCTAGTTCTATGCCAAAAAAGGGCAATTGAAATATAATAAAGCAGATTATGTTTTACCATGCAAAGTACGAATGCTACTATCTTCCTTTTATTTGCAATGTACATCTTCAACTACAAATTACTTATCCCTAAAGTCTGTCCTTCCACCAGTAAATAAACGGTGGGAAAATAGAGAAATATAGGAAAAAGTAAGATATCTAAAATTCTTTGGAATCGAATCAAAAGATTTTGTGACTATTTCCAAACATTAAATGGAGACAGAACCATAATTCCATGAGGTCAAAAATTTCCCTACTTCTCACTGGTATAAAGTGTCCCCACAAATGACAGACAGACTTGCTCAGCTCAACAAACCGCAGCAGTCTGCAGTCTGGAACCACACATGACAGTTTCTGCTCAGTTCCCATGGACCCGTGCACAAAAAGCTCCTCCGTTTACTCCTCTTTCCCTCCCCCTCCTTGGCTTAATTTGATTCTGAAAAGCACAATCTACCAGACCATTTGACTAAGTCTAGGAAAGCTGCCTCTTTTGGGGTAACTGTTAGAGAGTATCCCCCAAACCCCTCTGTGCCCTGAGAAAAAAACCAAGTTTCCAACTGGAAACTTCAGCCCCAGCCTAACAGCCCCCCTCAATGTAATTTCATTCCTTCTCTATGCACATTATTGGTTGGGGGGAGGGGAGAGAGGGGTCCTAGGGAACCCTTCTCTATGGCCTCTTCAAAGCCTCTCTACCTTCATTGATGACAGGGTACTTCCCTTTCACAGAAGTCCTGAGCTCCTTTAGTAAAGACATCCCGGACTGCTGTACTGAATGGCCTGGTACCCCAAGACATAGGTGGGAGCTGCCGACACCCACAGTTATTTTCGCAAGCCAACAGTCATCCACTCCGCACACATCAGGTTATGCAAACGCTCTTCTTGTGCTTGTTGTTTGGCTTACTGGTGTGTAAGGAAAAAGTGACTTTGGCTTAAAAAAAAGCAATTGGCAAAATAAAAGAAAGAAAAACAAAACACAAGTCCGACTGACCAAGAACTATAAACACCGGCAACATCACTATCTGCGGCATAGATTTATATTCAGAGTAAATCAGTAGTGTTTCTCAGTATATAAATGAAAGAAACAAAAACTAAATCAGTGTATATACAAAAAGTAAATTATGGACCACTGCTATGGAAACAAGCTTAAGTTCAGTGTCAAAATTCAGTTGGTTAAAGCGCCTCTTCTTAACCACCAAAGCTTGCTGTTCAACCCAGAATTTCTATTACAAGAGTCTTTTTCCATAAGAAAAGGAAAAAAATTGTAGAAAGCTTTCTATATAAAAATGTTCATTACAGCATCTTCTATAACATCAAGGCATACAAACTCCTAACAGTACCCCCAACTCAATGAGGGTATGTAGGAGAGTATTAAACAATATATATATTTTTAGTTGATTACAAAACAATTATAAATAATCTCCAATCTCATTTTTGTACAGGATAAAATACAGATAGCAACTAGACTGAATGATGCTAAATGGTGTTGATAGTGGTCAAGTAACAGTCATGTCAACCTAATTTTATATCCAGATCTATACATGGATTATCTTTATATCTAGTTATATTTTATACACATACATCTACATATACACATTTCTGGATTATTATGGCTCACATATCACCAGTGTTTATCTTTGGGTATTCAAATTTCTGGGTTTTGTTCTTTATGCTTATCTGTTATTCTAATGAATTGTTTTAACATAATACAAGAAACATTTAAAATACAAAGAAAATATATTAATAAAGTATTCTCAGAGGATTAAATGTAAAATTCAGACAAAGTTAAAAATGGCTATTAGGCAAATGAACAACTGTTCAATCTCAAACATGATGAAAACAACATGAAATGAGATATTTTTGCTTCTAAATAGCAAATTCTCTACTTTAAAAAATAGTTGCATTTAAACACCACTGCTGTTCATGTATAATAAATAGTGATAAATATTCAAAGCTTAAAAAAAGGCGAATAGCCTTTCATTCAGAACTTCCAAGCAAATTTAGTTCCAAATAAATCTATTTCATTCATTTAAAACATACCTTTCTGGGGAAGTAATTTAGAAGTCAGATTTAGACATATTTGAGAAGTTTTTCATGTAGAGATATAGGAACAAACTGATTTCTCCTTTTCTTTCCTCAATTTTTCCTTTTCCTGATCTCCTTCTCTCTGCCCA